CGGGGAGTCGCATCACCTTCCCCCCACCTGGCAGCAGCCTCTGAAGTGCAACCTGAGCACAGATCGGACTTCAGAGGAAAGGGAGACTCAGACGCACGTCCAACGCCGCCATTACCGCCGAATATTCCCGTCCAACACGAAGAATCAAAGGATGAAGAATAAACGCTACAGACCCGCCCATCACCCGCCGCCAGATCATAGAGACTCTTGTGACTCGTCCATCACCCACCGCCAGATCATAGAGACTCTTGTGACTCGCCCATCACCCGCCGACAGATCATAGAGACTCTTGTGACTCGTCCATCACCCGCCGACAGATCATAGAGACTCTTGTGACTCGCCCATCACCCGCCGACAGATCATAGAGACACCCTCTTGTGACTCGCCCATCACCCGCCGACAGATCATAGAGACTCTTGTGCATCGTCCATCACCCCGCCGACAGATCATCCTCTTGTCTGACTCGCCCATCACCCGCCGACAGATCATAGAGACTCTTGTGACTCGTCCATCACCCGCCGACAGATCATAGAGACTCTGTGACTCGCCCATCACCCCCGACAGATCCATAGAGACTCTTGTGACTCGTCCATCACCCGCCGACAGATCATAGAGACTCTTGTGACTCGTCCATCACCTGCCGACAGATCATAGAGACTCTTGTGACTCGTCCATCACCCCCGACAGATCATAGAGACTCTTGTGACTCGTCCATCACCCGCCGACAGATCATAGAGGACTCTTGTGACTCGCCCATCACCCGCCGACAGATCATAGAGACTCTTGTGACTCGTCCATCACCCGCCGACAGATCATAGAGACTCTTGTGACTCGTCCATCACCCGCCGACACATCATAGAGACTCTTGTGACTCGTCCATCACCCGCCGACACATCATAGAGACTCTTGTGACTCGTCCATCACCCGCCGCCAGATCATAGAGACTCTTGTGACTCGTCCATCACCCGCCGCCACATCATAGAGACTCTTGTGACTCGTCCATCACCCGCCGCCACATCATAGAGACTCTTGTGACTCATCCATCACCTGCCGACAGATCATAGAGACTCTTGTGACTCGTCCATCACCCGCCGCCACATCATAGAGACTCTTGTGACTCATCCATCCGGGGGAGTCAGAGGGAACACCCAACAAAGTACACCAAGATTAAAGGAGCATTCCGCCACCACCTAATCCCAACCTGTTCCCCTCCCCCACCAAACACCCATGTCCCCTCCCCCCACCAAACACCCATGTCCCCTCCCCGTGACCACCAAACACCCTTGTCCCCCTCCCCCTCCTAACCCCCATGATGCACAGGGCGCCAATCATCGCAGCATGACGCACAGGACATGGCAGCGTGATGCACAGGCGCCAATCATCGCAGCGTGACGCACAGGGCGCCAATCATCGCAGCGTGACGCACAGGGCGCCAATCATCGCAGCGTGACGCACAGGACATGGCAGCGTGACGCACAGGGCGCCAATCATCGCAGCGTGACGCACAGGACATGGCAGCGTGACGCACAGGACATGGCAGCGTGACGCACAGGGCGCCAGGATCATCGCAGCGTGACGCACAGGGCGCCAATCATCGCAGCGTGACGCACAGGGCATGGCAGCGTGACGCACAGGGCGCCAATCATCACAGCGTGACGCACAGGACATGGCAGCGTGACGCACAGGGCGCCAATCATCGCAGCGTGACGCACAGGACATGGCAGCGTGACGCAAAGGGTGCCAATCTTCGCAGCGTGACGCACAGGACATCGCAGCGTGACGCACAGGACATGGCAGCGTGACGCACAGGGCGCCAATCATCGCAGCGTGACGCACAGGACATGGCAGCGTGACGCACAGGGCGCCAATCATCGCAGCGTGACGCGCACAGGACATGGCAGCGTGACGCAAAGGGTGCCAATCTTCGCAGCGTGACGCACAGGACATGGCAGCAGCGTGACGCACAGGACATGGCAGCGTGACGCACAGGACATGGCAGCGTGACGCACAGGGCGCCAATCATCGCAGCGTGACGCAAAGGGTGCCAATCTTCGCAGCGTGACGCACAGGACATGGCAGCATGACGCACAGGACGCCGGACATGGCAGCGTGATGCACAGGACGCCAATCATCGCAGCGTACGGCCATTTTGGAGGCGGTTGGGTGTTTCGCAATGAACGATTCGCCGCGTATTACCGCGTTTCAGGGTCGAGCGCGGATCAGGAAACGATTTGCATCTTCCATTTTCCAGTCACAAATCCCAGCAGACGGCGCCACAAGTGGTTCGGGGCGATTGCAGGTCGCTGTGTGTGGCCACCATTACAGCGTTGGTTGGAAGACGCTGCGGGGACCATGATGGGGTGTCACCTGTACCTCCAGGACACGCCTTGTGACCGATGCACACGCACCCATCGGCTGTCATCCTCTATAGGGGACTCGGGAATGTGCTGAGTCACAATGACTGACACTGATGAGCCGCCTGGAGACACAACAGTCCTGCGAGGAATCGGCTGAGCTTCCTGGGGGGGGATGGGGGGGTCCTGACAGATGATGGGGATGAAAGACGAGACTGTCTGTGCTGCGAGCCCCCCGATTGGACGATATTCGGCTGGAGACGCCAGGAATTTATCATACCGACGAGTGATTGGACAGTGAATAGAGCGATTGGTCGCCACACAGGACCTCCGATGGGACATCCCACTTCAGAGGCCCCCCAAATGGCTTCTATGGGGAAAGTGGGGTGCAGTGTACATCTGTCCCCTGCATAATGACCCCCCATAGTCACTTCTATGGGGAAAGTGGGGTGCAGTGTACATCTGTCCCCTATAATGACCCCCCCCATAGTCCCTTCTATGGGGGGGAAAGTGGGGTGCAGTGTACATCTGTCCCCTATAATGACCCCCCATAGTCACTTCTATGGGGAAAGTGGGGTGCAGTGTACATCTGTCCCCTATAATGACCCCCCCATAGTCACTTCTATGGGGAAAGTGGGGTGCAGTGTACATCTGTCCCCTATAATGACCCCCCAGTCACTTCTATGGGGAAAGTGGGGTGCAGTGTACACATGTCCCCTATAATGACCCCCCCATAGTCACTTCTATAGAGAATGTGGGGTGCAGTGTACACCTGTCCCCTATAATGACCCCCCATAGTCACTTCTATGGGGAAAGTGGGGTGCAGTGTACATCTGTCCCCTATAATGACCCCCCAGTCATATGGGGAAAGTGGGGTGCAGTGTACACATGTCCCCTATAATGACCCCCATAGTCACTTCTATAGAGAATGTGGGGTGCAGTGTACATCTGTCCCCTATAATGACCCCCCCATAGTCACTTCTATGGGGAAAGTGGGGGTGCAGTGTACATCTGTCCCCTATAATGACCCCCCATAGTCACTTCTATGGGGAAAGTGGGGTGCAGTGTACACATGTCCCCTATAATGACCCCCCATAGTCACTTCTATGGGGGAAAGTGGGGTGCAGTGTACACCTGTCCCCTATAATGACCCCCCATAGTCACTTCTATGGGGAAAGTGGGGGGTGCAGTGTACACATGTCCCCTATAATGACCCCCCATAGTCACTTCTATGGGGAAAGTGGGGTGCAGTGTACACCTGTCCCCTATAATGACCCCCCATAGTCACTTCTATGGGGAAAGTGGGGTGCAGTGTACACCTGTCCCCTATAATGACCCCCCATAGTCACTTCTATGGGGAAAGTGGGGTGCAGTGTACATCTGTCCCCTATAATGACCCCCCATAGTCACTTCTATGGGGAAAAGTGGGGTGCAGTGTACATCTGTCCCCTATAATGACCCCCCATAGTCACTTCTATGGGGAAAGTGGGGTGCAGTGTACATCTGTCCCCTATAATGACCCCCCCATAGTCACTTCTATGGGGAAAGTGGGGTGCAGTGTACATCTGTCCCCTATAATGACCCCCCATAGTCACTTCTATGGGGAAAGTGGGGTGCAGTGTACACATGTCCCCTATAATGACCCCCCCATAGTCACTTCTATAGAGAATGTGGGGTGCAGTGTACATCTGTCCCCTATAATGACCCCCCATAGTCACTTCTATAGAGAATGTGGGGTGCAGTGTACATCTGTCCCCTATAATGACCCCCCCATAGTCACTTCTATGGGGAAAGTGGGGTGCAGTGTACATCTGTCCCCTATAATGACCCCCCCATAGTCACTTATATGGGGAAAGTGGGGTGCAGTGTACACATGTCCCCTATAATGACCCCCCCATAGTCACTTCTATAGAGAATGTGGGGTGCAGTGTACACATGTCCCCTATAATGACCCCCCATAGTCACTTATATGGGGAAAGTGGGGTGCAGTGTACACCTGTCCCCTATAATGACCCCCCAGTCACTTCTGTAGAGAATGTGGGGTGCAGTGTACATCTGTCCCCTATAATGACCCCCCATAGTCACTTCTGTAGAGAATGTGGGGTGCAATGTACATCTGTCCCCTATAATGACCCCCCCATAGTCACTTCTATGGGGAAAGTGGGGTGCAGTGTACATCTGTCCCCTATAATGACCCCCCATAGTCACTTATATGGGGAAAGTGGGGTGCAGTGTACACCTGTTCCCTATAATGACCCCCCATAGTCACTTCTATAGAGAATGTGGGGTGCAGTGTACACCTGTTCCCTATAATGACCCCCCAGTCACTTCTGTAGAGAATGTCAGTTTACTGAGTTCAGGCCCCCCCATATTAATGCTTTCATTGGCTCAGGCCCCCCCCCATATTCATACTCCCATTGGCTCAGGGCCCCCCATATTCATACTCCCATTGGCTCAGGGCCCCCCATTCATACTCCCATTGACTCAGGGCCCCCCATTCATACTCCCATTGGCTCAGGGCCCCCATATTCATACTCCCATTGGCTCAGGGCCCCCCATTCATACTCCCATTGGCTCAGGGGCCCCCCATATTCATACTCCCATTGGCTCAGTCCCCCACACTTCGTCCTCACATGTTGCACTCACCGGAGCTCATGGCCGCTCTCTCCGTCGCAGAGACTCCCAGCCGTGTTAGCAGCTTCCTTAGGAACATTGTAGAGTGTCAGCCCTCTCTCCTATATAACACAGCCCCGCCCCTACCCCAGGGTCATGTGACCAGAGAGGAGGGGGAAGGGAACTGTCAGTCCAACACACTGCTTGTCCTGCTGGTAGAACAGGTTCCCTTTATTGGGGGAATCTCTCCGGATCTCCTGTGTAGGGGGGAGTCTGTCTGCCCCATGGTGGGAATAGATGTCCATGACGGGACTGGTCAGAGAGGGATCACTGTACTGGGGACTGGTCAGAGAGGGATCACTGTGACGGAACTGGTCAGAGAAGGATCACTGTGCTGCGACTGGTCAGAGAGGGATCACTGTGACGGGACTGGTCAGAGAGGGATCACTGTGCCGGGACTGGTCAGAGAGGGATCACTGTGCTGCGACTGGTCAGAGAGGGATCACTGTGACGGGACTGGTCAGAGAGGGATCACTGTGCCGGGACTGGTCAGAGAGGGATCACTGTGACGGGACTGGTCAGAGAGGGATCACTGTGACGGGACTGGTCAGAGAGGGATCACTGTGACGGGACTGGTCAGATAGGGATCACTGTGCTGGGACTGGTCAGAGAGGGATCACTGTGCCGGGGACTGGTCAGAGAGGGATCACTGTGACGGGACTGGTCAGAGAGGGATCACTGTGACGGGACTGGTCAGAGAGGGATCACTGTGACGGGGGACTGGTCAGAGAGGGATCACTGTGACGGGACTGGTCAGAGAGGGATCACTGTGACGGGACTGGTCAGATAGGGATCACTGTGACGGGACTGGTCAGATAGGGATCACTGTGCTGGGACTGGTCAGAGAGGGATCACTGTGCCGGGACTGGTCAGAGAGGGATCACTGTGCTGGGACTGGTCAGAGAGGGATCACTGTGACGGGACTGGTCAGAGAGGGATCACTGTGACGGGACTGGTCAGAGAAGGATCACTGTGACGGGACTGGTCAGATAGGGATCACTGTGCTGGGACTGGTCAGAGAGGGATCACTGTGACTGGACTGGTCAGATAGGGATCACTGTGCCGGGACTGGTCAGATAGGGATCACTGTGCCGGGACTGGTCAGAGAGGGATCACTGTGACGGGACTGGTCAGAGAGGGATCACTGTGACGGGACTGGTCAGAGAGGGATCACTGTGCTGGGACTGGTCAGAGAGGGATCACCGTGACGGGACTGGTCACAGAAGGATCACCGTGCCGGGACTGGTCAGAGAGGGATCACCTGTGCCGGGACTGGTCAGATAGGGATCACTGTGCCGGGACTGGTCAGAGAGGGATCACTGTGACGGGACTGGTCAGAGAGGGATCACTGTGACGGGACTGGTCAGAGAGGGATCACTGTGCTGGGACTGGTCAGAGAGGGATCACCGTGACGGGACTGGTCACAGAAGGATCACCGTGCCGGGACTGGTCAGAGAGGGATCACTGTGACGGGACTGGTCAGAGAGGGATCACTGTGACGGGACTGGTCAGAGAGGGATGACTGTGACGGGACTGGTCAGAGAGGGATCACTGTGACGGGACTGGTCAGAGAGGGATCACTGTGACAAGACTGGTCAGAGAAGGATCACTGTGACGGGACTGGTCAGATAGGGATCACTGTGACGGGACTGGTCAGATAGGGATCACTGTGCTGAGACTGGTCAGAGAGGGATCACTGTGACGGGACTGGTCAGAGAGGGATCACTGTGCCGGGACTGGTCAGAGAGGGATCACTGTGACGGGACTGGTCAGAGAGGGATCACTGTGCTGGGACTGGTCACAGAAGGATCACCGTGCCGGGACTGGTCAGAGAGGGATCACTGTGACGGGACTGGTCAGAGAGGGATCACTGTGCCGGGACTGGTCAGAGAATCTCCTGCTGGATCTCTATACTGACATGGACGGGGGATGGGTGAGGAACGTAAGGACGCCCCCATCGTTTAATGGAAATGATCGACCTACAGAGTGAAGAAATGGTGCAGCAGGCGAGTCCATTTTGGTGAAATGTCATTGCAGCAACTCAGAATGGCCCTCAGTAGTCTGTGTGGCCCCCACGTGCTTGTATGCATGCCTGACAACGTCGGGGGAGGGTCCTAATGAGACCACGGATGGTGTCCTGGGGGATTTCCTCCCAGATCTGGAGCAGGGTGTCACTGAGCTCCTGGACAGTCTGAGGTGCAACCTGGCGGCGTCGGATGGACCGAAACATGACATCCCAGAGGGGTTCTATTGGGTTTAGGTCAGGGGAGTGTGGGGGCCATTCAATGGTATCAATTCCTTCATCCTCCAGGAACTGCCTGCATACTCCCCCAACATGAGGCCGGGCATTGTCTGCACCAGGAGGAACCCGGGACCCACCGCACCGGGAGGAACCCGGGACCCTCCGCACCGGGAGGAACCCAAGACCCACCGCACCGGGAGGAACCCAAGACACACCGCACCGGGAGGAACCCAGGACCCTCCGCACCGGGGGAGGAACCCAGGACTCCCCCCCTGCCCCAGCGTAGGGTCTGACAATGGGTCCAAGGATCTCATCCCAATACCTAATGGCAGTCAGGGGGCCATTGTCCAGCCTGTAGAGGTCTGTGTGTCCCTCCATGGAGATGCCCCCCCAGACCATCACGGACCCACCACCAGAACGGTCATACTGAACCATGTTCCAGGCAGCAGAACGTTCTCCACGGCTTCTCCAGACCCTTTCACGTCTGTCACGTGTGCTCAGGGTGAACCTGCTCTCATCTGTGAGAAGCACAGGGTGCCAGTGGTGGACCTGCCAATTCTGGGGTTCAATGGCCAATGCCAATCCAGCTCTATGGTGCCGGGCAGTGAGCACAGGGCCCACTAGAGGACGTCGGGCCCTCAGGCCACCCTCATGAAGTCTGTTTCTGATTGTTTGGTCAGAGACATTCCCACCCGACCTGAGAGTCCCCTTGCTGGTAGCTTCATATTTATGTGTCACATTGATATACCTCTAGAATCACTGACTATGGGGGAATAAATGGGGTACTATGGGGGATACATTTCCATTTGGGGTGGATCCCCAGGAAGGCCGTAGATCCATCTTTACATGAGTTCATGAGAAGGTAACGGAGTAACATACAGTCATGGCCGAAATTGTTGGCACCCTTGATATTTTCTCCAGGAAATCATGTATTTCTCACGAAACGTATTGCATTAACACATGTTTTGCTATACACATGTTTATTCCCTTTGTGTGTATTGGGACAAAAACAAAAAAAGGGAGGAAAGAAAGCAAATTCGACATAATGTCACACAAACCTCCAAAAATGGGCTGGACAAAAGTATTGGCACCCTTTCACAACTGCGGATAAATAAGAATGTTACAAGCATGTGATGCTCCTGTAAACTCACCTGGGGCAAGTAACAGGTGTGGGCAATATAGAAATCACACCTGAAAGCAGATAAAAAGGAGAGACGTTCACTTAACCTTTGCATTGTGTGTCTGTCTGTGCCACACTAAGCATGGACAACAGAAAGAGGAGACGAGAACTGTCTGAGGACCTGAGAACCAAAATTGTGGCAAAATATCAACAATCTCAAGGTTACAAGTCCATCTCCCAGAGAAACTAGATTTGCCTTTGTCCACAGTGCGCAACATTATCAAGAAGTTTGCAACCCATGGCACTGTAGCTAATCTCCCTGGTCGTGGACGGATGAGGAAAATTGATGAAAGATTGCAACGCAGAATAGTCCGGATGGTGGATAAGCAGCCCCAAACATGTTCCAAAGACATTCAAGCTGTCCTGCAGGCTCAGGGAGCATCAGTGTCAGCGCGAACTATCCGTCGACATTTAAATGAAATGAAACGCTATGGCAGGAGACCCAGGAGGACCCCACTGCTGACACAGAGACATAAAAAAAGCAAGACTACAGTTTAGCCAAAATGTACTTGAGTAAGCCAAAAGCCTTCTGGGAAAACGTCTTGTGGACAGATGAGACCAAGATAGAGCTTTTCGGTAAAGCACATCATTCTACTGTTTACCGAAAACGGAATGAGGCCTACAAAGAACAAAACACAGTACCTACGGGTAAAATATGGTGGAGGTTCAATGATGTTTTGGGGTTGTTTTGCTGCCTCTGGCACTGGGTGCCTTGACTGTGTGCAAGGCATCATGAAATCTGAGGATTACCAAAGGATTTTGGGTCGCACTGTAGGGCCCAGTGTCAGAAAGCTGGGTTTGCGTCCAAGATCCTGGGTCTTCCAGCAGGACAATGACCCCAAACATACGTCAAAAGAAAGCACTCAGAAATGGATGGCAAAGAAGCGCTGGAGAGTTCTGAAGTGGCCAGCAATGAGCCCAGATCTAAATCCCATTGAACACCTGTGGAGAGATCTTAAAATTGCTGTTGGGAAAAGGTTGTGTCCTTCCAATAAGAGAGACCTGGAGCTGTTTGCAAAGGAAGAGTGGTCCAAAATTCCGGGTGAGAGGTGTCAGAAGCTTATTGATGGTTATAGGAAGCGACTGATTTCAGTTATGTTTTCCAAAGGGTGTGCAACCAAATATTAAGTTAAGGGTGCCAATACTTTTGTCCAGCCCATTTTTTGGGGTTTTGTGTGACATTATGTCATATTTGCTTTTCTGCCTCTGTTTTATATTTGTTCCAATACATACAAAGGAATAAACATGTGTATAGCAAAACATGTGTTAATGCAATACCTTTTTTGTGTGAAATACTTGATTTTCAGGAAAAATATCAAGGGTGCCAACAATTTCGGCCATGACTGTATATACCTGACATGGGGCTCTTATTACATGTGGTCAGCATACATTTCCTATGATTTCTTTTCCCTCTACTTTGATCTCCTCATTTATTTCTGGTTTTCCATTTTTCAGGAGGTCGTTCTGTTCACTGTGGGGGTCACCAAAACAGTTTTTGAAGAATGCTCCCCCCCATGCAGATATCATATGGAAATCCTCTGATCTGGTAGTTAGGAACCGTATTGCCTGACGTGGATCCTGATTGCCGGATATGATCTCTGGAGACGCCGAATGCTTT